ATGATGAGTTGTTGTGTAAGTGCGGGAGTGACAGTGAGTGTGAGAGTGATGATGAGCTGTGTAAGTGCGGGAGTGACAGTGACTGTCTGTAACGTTGTCTAGCTCAGAGCATTTATCAGACTGTGTGCCATTTGCATTTTCCCGTTCCTACCAAAGTCCAGGACATTAGGGAGAGAGTGGGGTTAAGGTCCAGATTATTGAATTAGCAGCTAACTTGTAGAAATAATAAATAAAAGTAATTGCAGTTGGACTGAAGCATGAAGAAAGACAGCCTGCTTTTACCCTGAAATGTTGGCACTGTGGTAGTATCTCTGAAACCAGAAGGTCCAAGTTAAAGTCCCAACTGCTCTGAGGTGTGGCACAGCATGTCTGAACAGGTTAATCAAAATAACTGTAGCCAGAAAAATATAACAGCTCTCACAGACAAGAGACAGACACAGTACAGGCTTAGCTAAAGAAAGGCACACAGGAGAACTGCAGTGAGACACAGTCACAGAGGGACAGCAGAAACATAAAGACAGACAAACACACAGAGATAGAGACAACAAAAACATGGATAGGTAGACACAGATAGTCAGTCTGTCTCAGAGAGTTAGGGAGACACAGCAGTCTCAGAGAGATAGAGAGACACAGCAATCTCAGAGAGATAGAAAAACACAGCAGTCTCAGAGAGATAGAGAGGCACAGCAATCTCAGAGAGATAGGGAGACACAGCAGTCTCAGAGAGATAGGGAGATAGTGGAAATACAGCTGGACAGTCCCACAGAGATAGAAACCGACAGAGTCACAGAGGGACAACATAAACATAGAAAGACAATCACACAGAGTTTAAAAAAACGAAAGAACTGCAGATGCTGTAAATCAGGAACAAAAACAGAATTTGCAGGTCTGGCAGCATCTGTGAAGAAAAAATATCAGAGTTAACGTTTCGGGTCCAGTGACCCTTCTGATATTTTTCTTCACAGATGCTGCCAGACTTGCTGAGCATTTCCAGCAGTTTCTGCTTTTGCACACAGAGGTAGAGACAGCAGAAACACTGCCAAACACACACAGTAACACAGAGATAGAGGCAACAGACAGACACGTTCAGAGAGATAGACACAGTCACACAGATAGACAGCACACTGATCCATTCACAGAGAAAAGAGAGAGAGAGATACAGCAGAAACAGAGACACAATCTCACTGAGATAGAGAAAGAGGCAGCAGAAACAGACAGGTACAGTCTGACAGAGAGAGAGAAAGACAGCTAGCAGAAACACAGTCAGCAGAAATAGAGAAACAGCAGATTACACAGAGACAGGTAGAAACAGTCTCTCTCACACACACACACACACCTCCTCCCACACACCCATCTCTCTCACATACACACACACCCACCCACCCACCCATCTCTCTCTCTCTCACACACTCTCACACACACACACACACACACACACACACACACACACACACACACAC